ATGATTTAGGTGCCCTTTTGGAGCTTAGAGGAGAGTTTTCCGAGATGACTATGAAGATCAGACAACAATGATACATATCGATTGATACACACCCTGTGTAATTGGACATTTAATATATTTATATAAAATCTTGGGATTATATAATTTTGAATATTTAAAAATAATTGGACTAAAAAATAATTTGAAACCCAAAAAATTATGTATTAGAATAATTTAATTTGGAGAATTCTTTTGAGTGTATGAGGAGGATATACACTTCTTGTGGAGTAAAATGTTTTAACTGAGCTGGAATAGCCTTAGCTGACTTCATTACCAAACCCTATGGTGCTGTCTCTTCTCAGTGTAAGGCTACAGAAACAACGATTAAGCACTTTCAAATCTCATATGTTGGATGATTAGGCATTTCATAGCGAGGTAGACACCGAACTTTATGTTGGAACTCGGTTTTGACAATGTGGTGTGGACCATTTTTCCGATGGGTTTTTCAACAGAGACGTCTGTCGAAAAGACCGAAATTTGGGCACGATGTAATCGTCACTGTGAACACTATGAGATATCATATTATTTGGTCAAAATCGTAGTTGTGTGAATGAGAAATGGATGTCCAAAGTGAGTAATATACAAAGCTTATAAAACTTTAAATTTGGTTAAATATAAAACATTTAGCAAATAGATCGATTTGGACATTTGGGTTTGAATTTGTTAATTGGGCATTATGTTAATTAACTTATTTAAATACTCATATATGATTATATAAGTTTAGTAACCCAATAAAAAATATATTGATGGTTGTTGATTTGGTCAAAGCCACAATATTACTTTAGCTAACGTACATAAATCGTGGAAATCAATTCCATTATTCTAATTAATTGGTACGTTAGTCTTCTCATTTAATTACATAACGTGTACTTTTTCAAGTTAAAAAAGATATACTTGTGTGACTTTGAAGATTCAGAAAAGAAAAACAATTCCTTTCATATTTTTTTTGTTCTCCTTGATTTTTTTTTGAGTCTGAGAGTATACACAAAAAAGGTTGACTTTTCTTGTGACAACCCATCATGTGGCTCACAAGAAAAGTGTTTGATATTGAATATTACTAATCTGTTTATTGGTTTTTTAAACAGATTCAAAATTTTTGTGTATACTCTTAGACTCAAAAAAAAATCAAGGAGAACAAAAAAAATATGAAAGGATTGTTTTTTTTTCTGAACCTTCAAAGTCACACAAGTATATCTTTTTAACTTGAAAAAGGTACACATTATGTAATTAAATGAGAAGACTAACGTACCAATCAATTATAATAATGTAATTGATTTGCACAATTTATGTACGTTAGCTAAAGTAATATTGTGGCTTTGACCAAATCAACAACCATCAATATATTTTTTCTTGGGTTACTAAACTTATATAATCATATAAGATTATTTAAATAAGTTAATTAACATAATGTCCAATTAACAAATTCAAACCCAAATGTTCAAATTGATCTATTTGCTAAATGTTTTATATTTAGCCAAATTTAAAGTTTTATAAGCTTTGTATATCACTCACTTTGGACATCCATTTCTCATTCAACACAACTCCGATTTTGACCAAATAATATGCTATCTCATAGTGTTCACAGTGACGATTACATCGTGCCCAAATTCCGGTCTTTTCGACAGACGTCTCCGTCGANTTGATCTATTTGCTAAATGTTTTATATTTAGCCAAATTTAAAGTTTTATAAGCTTTGTATATCACTCACTTTGGACATCCATTTCTCATTCAACACAACTCCGATTTTGACCAAATAATATGCTATCTCATAGTGTTCACAGTGACGATTACATCGTGCCCAAATTCCGGTCTTTTCGACAGACGTCTCCGTCGAAAAACCCATCGGAAAAATGGTCCACACCACATTGTCAAAACCGAGTTCCAACACTTTACTCATCTCTTCTTCTGCTTACTACTGATGCTAAGTCTATTCTTAGGGTTTCTCACTTTAAAGTTTCCTCCTTTTTGTTAGATTCCAACCTACTTGCGTTGTTAATTGAGTTTCCCTCTGTTTGTATGGTCCTGCAGAGTAGTTAGTACATTTCTCTGTTTGTACGGTCATCATCGTTTCGCTAATGTTCCGAGTTAGTTAAAAGCTTTGAGCTTTTGTCTACTTATTAACATACTTCTTCTTCTTTCCTGCAGAGGAGATGGATCGTGTTAGCAACCTACCAGACGAGGTTCTTTGTCATATACTGTCTTTTCTCAGTACAAAGGAAGCTGGTTTGACGTATATTCTGGCCAAGAGGTGGCACAATCTTCTTGCACTTGTCCCTTGTCTTACTATTGATAACTTTGTGTTTCTGCATTGGGAAGAGGGCAAACGGAAAAAGGAAGACATTCAACAGAGCTTCATGGACTTTGTGGATAGAGTTTTGGCGTTGCAAGGTAACTCTCCACTAAAGAAATTCTCCCTCAAGTATATTCCTGTGGCTGACACAGATCGTGTGGATGGGTGGATAAAAAATGTGTTAGCTCGTGGTGTTTCGGACCTTGATCTAAGGATCATTTTGTATCTTGATCTAAAGATCATTGGAAATCACTATCAGCTGTCTCCAGTATGCTTCGAGTGTAGCACACTAGTCAAGCTGAAAATAAACTTTGGGATTGATCTTACTTGGATTGCTCGTCGTGTTTCCTTACCGTTGCTTAAAACTCTGGTTCTTGACAAAGTTCTTGTTTGTCCTAATCAGTTTGAGATTCTGCTTCATGCTCTACCTTCTCTTGAGGAATTGGAGCTGGTTCATGTAATGTGGAAAGATATGGATGATGTCACAGTGTCAAGTGCAAGCCTCAAGACCCTAACAATCAAGTTAATCTGTTGTTTAAAGACTTTATCAATTGATACACCAAGTCTCCTTCACTTTGAGTGCTCTGATTTTGTTGCATCGGACTATCCACTAGTTAATATGGGAAACTTGGTTGATGCTCAAATCGACTTCCACTTAAGTCAAGTCCATATGAAGCAACTTAGAGAACCAGATCTTGATTGGTCTGACGACCAAGTTGTTCTCCAATTTACTAGTGTGTGGAATTCTGGTCTTGTCATAGGAAACGTGTGGAATTTCTTTCATGGCATACGAAATGCTCGGAATCTTAACTTGTCTCATGATGCTCTTGAAGTCAGTTTTCTCTCTTGAAATATCTTTCTGTGTATATGATGATTAGATTTGAAACATGTGATTCCAAAAAGTTTTGTTTTGCTTTCAGGTGCTTTCTATGTGCTCTGAATCGATGCCAGTGTTCAACAACCTCAAATCATTAGCTATTGAGAGTCACCAGTGTAGAGGATGGCAAGCAATGCCTGCTCTTCTAAGGAACTGTCCACATTTAGAAATTCTAGTCTTTGAGGTATTAAAAACAACTCTACGTTTGCCAAACATGTACATACAGTTAACATCTGAATCTCTTAATGGGTCTCTCCTTTGGGTGCCTTTAGGGCCTCGTGCACGATGTAACAGATAAGTGTGGGGATGCTTGTGACTGCATTTCTCGGGAGGACAAAGGACTTTCACTAAAACTTTGTCCAGTAAAAGTGATCAAGATTCGTGACTTTCAAGGAACAATGGAAGAGATGTCAATGATAAAGCATTTCTTGGACTATTTTCCATGTTTGAAGGATATGGGGATCTATGTCAAAGAGAAAATGATCCTCCACAGCTAGGAAACCAACGTGTCTTGGAGACGTTCGAACTCTACAACAAGTTATCGAGTTGCAATGTCCAGCTCTGCATTTGAAGAGCAAAATCATCTACTAGTGTTCACCAGCAGTTTAATTTGTGTTTAACTTTGCTTGAAAACCGTCTCAATATGATTGTTTCTGGTTTTTGCTTTAGTTTTTGATTTTTGTTTTTGTAAAAACCATTTTTTATCCAATCAGGTTTTGGTTTTTAGTTTTTGTTTTTGTAAAAACCATTTAATTTGCCAATCAAGTTTTTTTAAAAATGGATTCCCTTAATTTTAGGGAAACTAGTTTTTCAAAATTTCAACCAATTTGTGAAGAAAAACCAAAAAAAAAACAACTTTTCTGAGCTTTTACTAAAAGACGAATTTTATTTCTATTTTATAGAAAATAGTCAAATACTATAATTATTTAATTAATAAGTAAATAAATAGTATTGCATAAAAATAATTTTTGCATACAAGTTTTTGTAGATAAGATATCATTTAAACAAAAATTTAGAATAATTATTTGTGTGTTTATATCTGTAAATATATTTTGATATATATATATACATTAGTTGTTCACCATTAGTTATTAATACTTATACATAAAATTATTGAATAATTTTAAGAATTATAAGACACACTAAAAGTTATAAAAATATAAAAATGATTAATATTATATAAATTTGGAAAATATCCATTCAAGTGTTAATATAAATATATTATATATAAGAAATTATATAATTATTTTAAAATTGTAAGCATTTTTTATAATTTATAGATATTTTCTGATTTATATGTTTAGTATGACACTTTAAACCATCATTATTATATTTTTATAAATTTAATGAAAATTTCTAATTTTTTATTGCTGTTTTGTGATATTATTTTAAATAATGCATTGATTATTTTTTAAAAAATTAAAAACTACATAAAAACCAAAAATCTAAAATCTAAAAACTAAAAACCAAAACCAAAAACTGAAAACTAAAACCAAAAACTTAAAAACTAGAAACCAAAAACTAAAATCTAAAACCAAAATCTAAAACCCAAAAACTAAAACCAAAAACTATTTCAAACAATCATCACCTAAATCTGAGAAGACTCTAGTTTCGTCTTCTTGCTTGTGATCTTATCTGACTCATTCTCTATCGATGGGCCTCATGGAACTTATTACTAATGGGCCATATAACATGAGATCACTAAAACGAAGCCCAAATTCTCAACGCCATTTGTTTCGGATAACCCCTAAATAACCGAATCATTAACCGATAATCAATCCGATCGATTCCTCCCCGGAAAATCTCATCGTTTCTCTCGTAATTTTCCCAGGAAGATCGTTAGAAGGTAAACCTCAAGAAAACTCTCCTCCTATCTCGTAATCCGTGGTATTACTAATCGTTATCTTCATCGCGATGTTTCGTTTGGTTTCCTAGAAAATGTCAAAGTGACTGATTCACTAACGCTGAGATTTTGATTTTTCCATATTTTTCCGTTGAGTTGTTCATATTCATTGCGTCTGAGAACTCTGTGTTGAAATCTTCTCTAGTAACAGCGTAAAATGGCGGATGAGGTGGCAATCCACGGCGACGTTGATGATCGCGCGGCGAAGACGATCTCCTCCTCCGATCAGGAAATGGAGAGGAAGAATCAGGAGCTCAAGAGGGAGAATCTTGAGAAGAAGGAGAGGTTAAAGAAGCTAACGGAAGAAATCGAGGAGATGAAACACGTAGAAGCGGAGATGAATCAGAGCATAGAAGAAATGGAGAAAGAGATTGAGGATTACGAGGAAGAGAAGAAGGCTCTTGAGTCTATTTCGACCAGAGCTGTTGAGCTGGAGACGGAGGTGTTGAGTCTTCAGGAGGATGTCAATGCTTCGTTGACGGAGGTGGATAAGAAGGTGGGAGAAGTGGAGGAGTTGAAGAGAGTTTTGGTGGAGGAAGGGGAGAAGTTTGAAGGGTGTGAGAAGGAAGCTGAGGGGTTAAGGAAAGATAGAGCTGAGGTTGAGAGGAAGGTTAGGGATTTGGAAAGGAAGATTGGGGTTTTTGAGGTGAAGGTAGTGGAGGAGAAGAGCAAGAAGGTTAGGTTAGAGGAGGAGATTAGGGAGAAGGATGGTGCGAAAGAGAAGGAGATTAAGGAGTTGAAGAAGAAAGTTGGGGACTTGAATGTGGAGCTGGTGAAGAATGGTGAGGAGTTGAAGAGATGCAAGTCTGAGAAGAAGAATGGGGCAGTGAGTGAAGCTGAGGGAAGAGAGAAGGAAATGGAGTTGAAGAAGAAAGAGTTGGTGAAGAAGGTTGAGGAAGCGAGGGAGGTGATAGTTGAGTTGAAAGAGAGGGCTATGAAGCCTAGTATCAGTGAGAGAAACACAAAGGGTGACATGAAAGTAGAGTCGTGGTGGCCTTGGTGCTAGTTTGGTTGCAGCGACACCATTCGTCTGCTATTCCAAGCTAAGGTGGTTTTTTTCTGATTGATATGTGTTAGCGGAGGAGGAATAACTGATGACCAAGTTCTTAAGATTGATTTCAAGATTGGTTAGAACTTTGTTTTGGGTTTGTGGTGTTTTTTTTTTTGTTGTTTATGGCGAAATCTTCAGTTTTTGTTATGCCACGAATGAATTTCGTAACTGTGTTTTTTATCACATCTACTTGTCTTTTTCTTTTTCAATGTATCTGATTTCAAAGCGAAGCATGTTTTGCTTGACCAGTGCTTCTTCATCCCAAGGCCATGAGTACCAATATTCCTTGCAAGGGAAAAAAACTCAATATATTTGAGACCGTTTTGAAAGTTCTTCCTGGAAAAAGGTCTGAGTTCAAGAAATGAAGCAACTTATTGTAGATTAGTAGATTACATCAAGACCTAGAATCTTCATATCTGTGTTTTCCTTTGTCTTGGTGCGCCTTTCGCCATAGCTAGAAAAGTCCTCTCCATGTGCAAAGTCCTAACCACATTGCGTCTCTTTAAAAAACACAGCTTCATATAAGGAATGGTAAGCTAGCTTTTGTTTTTGTTGCTGTCCGTTTATATTTTTGGAAAGGAAAGCGTGTGGAACAAAAGTAGTCAATCTAATTGTCTAAAACAAGAGATCTGGAGCATCTTTGGTTTTCAGATAAACAACTTTAAACTACTTTTTTTTTGTTGGTCAATATATATAAAAAAAGAAAATATTATAAAGAAGGGTGAGATGCAGACCCCATCGATGGCTGCCTCCACTACTCCTTTCTACTACCCAATCCCCAAAACCAAAAGCTTCCTTCTTTCTCCCCCTTCCCGGTTCAAACGCAACCCTAATAATAATCTCATCTCTTGCTCCACCAAACCCATCTCCTCTCTGCAAACGACAAACCATCGAATCCAAAAGCAGAATCTTCCCTTACCCATTTTCGAAGATTCATTTCTCCTCTACAAATTCAGCTCCCCGACAGAAGACCCAGGATTCTCTAACCGGATCTCTGACGCAGACCCGGTCGAATTAGTTATCCGCAACGTAGAAGACGACAACAAAAGCTTGGTCATTTCGTCGAACATGTGGTGGGCAGATCTGAAAGCAGCTATCGGGCAACGAATCAACGTAGAGGGCATCGTCTCTTCCGTCTCGGTGATCGTAAAAGATCGTCATTTGGTTATTCCACATGTTTCCGTTAAAGATTTACGCTACATAGATTGGGGAGAGCTGAAGAGAAAGGGCTTCAAGGGTGTAGTCTTCGATAAGGATAACACACTCACGGCTCCTTACTCTCTAGCGATCTGGCCACCGCTCAGGCCTTCGATTGAGCAGTGTAAAGCCGTGTTTGGGCATGACATCGCCGTCTTTAGCAATTCAGCAGGTGAAAGTTTGAATCTTTTTTGGTGTTTGGTTGATTTGAAAGATGCTAACTTTATATGTGTCTTTTGTACATTAGGGCTTACGGAATATGATCATGATGATTCGAAAGCTAAAGCATTGGAGGCTGAGACAGGAATTAGAGTGTTGAGACATAGTAAGTTGCTTTGTATTACTGTGATTCTCTTGGTTTTGTAGCGTTTGTTAACTGATGAAGACTGTTTTCAAATTCATGATTTTTAGGGACAAAGAAGCCTGCGGGAACTGCTGAGGAAGTTGAGAAACACTTTGGTTGTGCATCTTCTGAGCTAATCATGGTAAGTTTAACTTTTTGATGAATGTTAGGGATGAAACTGCTTGGTAGATAAGATGTTATATGTGTTAAGTGTTTCTGGTGCAGGTGGGTGATCGACCTTTCACAGATATTGTTTATGGGAACAGAAACGGGTTTCTTACTGTGTTAACAGAACCGTTGAGTCGAGCTGAGGAGCCTTTCATTGTTAGACAGGTTGGTTTTTGTCTCCTCTTCCTTTTATCCTGAAGAACATTTTAGATTTGCTTAGAACTCTGTTTCTACATCACACTTCATTTAGCTTCTCGAATTGTCTTAGTACTTGTTATATAGTATAAGATTAATGCAGTTATTGAACTTATTTGTTTACATTTGGTGGAACAATTTCTTTTGCAGGTGAGGAGATTAGAGTTAGCCTTGTTGAAACGTTGGTTGAGAAAAGGTTTGAAGCCTGTGGATAACATTTTGGTATCAGATGTAACACCATTTGTTAAGGATCCTTCAGATTTGTAAGAGAATAATCAGCTTGCTTAACCAACAACTCTGTTCCTTAAGTTTTTGGGGTGTAATTGAAGTTTTTTACTTTTGGCCAAGTGCATGGAGATGAAAATTTCTCAGATGTTGAGGATTGAAAGATTCGCATTATCCTGGCTTAAGCACCTTGTCATGTTATATTTGTGATGGACAGCCCTTGCCTCCTTGGTATAAATAAAGATTAGACAAAAGAACCGGCAGCTCAATAATCATGCATAACAGCATAACAGTAGTTTTGCAGTGCGTCCAAGATAACCAGACCATGACCGAACAATGCATGTTGCAAGACCAGCAAGATGCTAAAAATGGTATCAAGCAGTTCACTTTTTGGGAAGATATGAAAAGTAAAAAAACAGGAGTCTAACATACTTCAAAATTCAAACCAAGGCCCTACACAAAAACTCTAAACTTAAAAACTGTTTATAGATCATCCCAAACCTGTTTCTAAAGAATATTGTTCGGAGGATGTGACTCAACATGGCTCTTGAGGTTTTCCACATCTAAATCTTATAAGATCTGTCTCATTGTCAAATTACTCAGATGGATAAAGTAGAACCATGTTGACTAAGAACATAAGACGTGCCTTGGTGTTTGAAATGAGTCTGCTTTGGATTTTTTCACTTATCAGGCTTGCATTAATACCAAACCCTTACATATTTACCTGCAGAATGAATAAAGAAAGGTAGAAACAAAGATTACTAATCATAAGATGTCTGAAAACCAGGAGTTGAATATCTTGCTTTAAAGATAAGTCATTATGCCACAAAATCCTTCAGAATGGACCATGGCTCATAAATGCTTGTAACACCATTCCAACATTCTTAAATTTGGAGTTCTTGTTGCAGATTCCAGAACCACAGCAGACTTAGTTGTCTTAGTTCGCCATGTAGTTAGCTGTGAATTTTAGATAAGGTTTTGAAATGTTTTCATTGCATGGATAACTGAATGTAATTTCAAAAGGTATCAACTTGTGTAGGGAACATTGGCCATCGCAACACCAATACATTCAGAAACGACAACGTGCTTGCTGTCTTCAAAATAATTAATCAGTACAATCTTTTAAAAGTGAAATGATTTATGTTATCCAAAATAGCTGACACTTGATGTTGTACGATTTTTATCCATTCTGGTCACACTTTGTAGTTTATATTATTAATATACACTAGAGCATGATCCGCACACCCACACAAACATTAATTTTTAAGTTTGTATACATTGATATTTTATTTATAATTAAATAATTATATTTAAAAAATCTGGACCAAATCAGATAATATTATTATTTTGGTATAAATATCCAAATCCCATTTCAAATATGTAACTATTTAGATATTTTTATGTTCCTACACATCAGAACCGAACTCATACAAGTCCAGAAGGACTCAATTCTAAATCTATCCAAAATTTTATAATACTTGAACATTCTAATTTTAAACCCAAAACAATACATGAGAGAAATGATTCGTACATCCAAATGTCCATGCTCAACTGATCCTGCAAACAAATAAAAAAAACTCTTTGTTAACTGTTTTACAACACAAAATTTATTTAAAGCTATCGAAATCATATGGATAAAATGTAAAATAAATTTCATCTAATTATTATGGTAAAAGTAATTAATAAATTAGTTACGAAAAGTGAAAAAATGTCAAAATTGTAATAAAACACTTTAAGTTGGTAATTTATGTTTTGTAATTTTGTAATAAATGATCTTGAATTATGTGGATAAAAATAAATGATTATAATGTGTCAGAAAAGGAAAATGAAAACTGTCAAAAACATTTAAATTTAGGAAAATATTATTTGTACTTTTGTCTTAATAGAATAAATAGATGATCGGATTTGACAAAAATGTAAGTCAGTTTCGTAGAGTTTTGAACTTAACTGATCGGTTTAGTTAACTATATCCAATTCTAAATAAACGTAATAGAAATTGAAATATGGTTAGGATAGAATTGTTTGTTTCAGACATTGGTTATTAATTAGATATTGAGTTATTAATTAGACAAATCATGAAAAAGAAAGTTAGAAATCTTAAGTAATCAGTTCAAAAAGGACAAAAAAGAATTTTGGTATTTTTGTTTGAATAGAATAGATATTATCCCTACCGAACAACAATGATACATCACTCAACAGAATGTGAAATCTCTTTAATTTTACATAGACATTTAGTTTGTAAATCGACATGACTACATGATTGTAGTTGAACCATTCAAGCATATAATCTGTAAGTTGTTTATTTACCACACTAATTCAAATAACTATTTTAAACTCTTATTACTTATCATCACTTGTCTTATTCAACCACAACCATTCAACTCATGAAGAAGAACACAAAACACACAAGTTAGGTGAACATAAATGTCTGACAATTCACACCACCTATGCAGAAAACAATACTCCATAGCACGATATTACCCAAGTTGTATGAGTGCTTCCTATTGTCATAATTACACCAATTTATAGTAGGCTATGTCTTTTAGAGATTAGACAAATAAGTTTGTTTAAGTGGTCCATCATAATTACTGAAATTAGTTAAATCTTCAAAACTTGGTTAACTAGTTACTCCATTGCCATAAGTAATAGAGCAATTAAAGGACGGTGATCCCCAGGAATAGTGCACCATTAAATTCCATGTGGGGGCTCCCACACTCGAACCCTCTCTGTTATCTGTCGGTGTGACTCTGACAAAATATCAAATTACTTGTGGGAGAGGAGATTCATGTGTAGTTTTATGCGTCAATACACTACATATTTTTTCCTATTAGAGCAAATTTGGTGTTTTGGTGTAATATTTTTGTCATCACCATAAAACAAAATATTACACTAAGTAATATTATACATTATTTTAGTTTTAACAATTTTTATACTTTTATTATTTATAATTGATAAATAATTATTTTATCACATTTAGATATTATATTTCTTAAATTGTTGTAATTTTATATTTATAAAATTTATATATTTATATTTTTAGCGCAACAATAGTATAGTTTTATGTATTTATTTAATATAAACTATTAATTATATACAAAATTAAAAAACTATTAATTATGAAAAGCACATAAAAAATAATATATTTATTTTAATACTATTTGTATTAGTTAGTAATAAAAGTT